TTGAGCTAAAATTTTTATTTTCTCACAGATTTGGTTTTATAAGCTTGTGGGAAAATTAAGCCTTCACGTAGGAGTAGAATCGGCCACCCATCCTAAGCTTTTACAAGGTTCCGGGATCTTTACGGAGGAGTCAGTGTAAGATTTAATTAGAGACCCAGATAATTTTAGGAAGCATGTTATCGAATCGAGGGCTCTAAAATTTGAAAAGAGAAAAGCTGCCACTACATCCACTGTCACAGAATCTACCTCTACAAGATTGGAGAGAGAGAGAGAGAGAGAGGGGTATATATATATATATATATTTTTATTTTTATTCCATGTTAGTTAATTGCTCCCCATGCTTTTATAAAATGATTTTTATTTTGATGTTCAACCCTGAATTGAACTTTACTTGGGTTATTTATGTGTATGTAATCACCAAAGCTGAGTTAGACCGGCTCATACTTGAAAAAAAAAAGTGGACTTAGACCTTCTCTTGAGGATAAGGAGGGACAAATTTGGTGAGGAGGAAGAGGATGTTGATGGTGATAGAGCATATGAGGATGACGGGGATGATGGGATTGAGAGTGATGGTGGTGATGAGGATGAGGGGAACGAGGAGGGGGATGATGAGGGGAATGGGGAGGATGGGGAGGGAAATAATGAGGGGGACGAGGAGGATGAGGAGGGGGTGATGAGGAGGATGGGGTGGGAGTTGATGAGGGGAATGAGGAGGATGAGGAGGGGAATGGTGGAGATATGGATGAGGATGTCGGAGGGAAAGCGGAGGTTGGTGAAGATGTTGATAGATTGAATGTAGATAAAGATGATGGTGGGGATGGTGATAATGATCAAGTGGGCATGAATTCAATGGAAGTGAATGACGACACCTTTGTAAAGTATTTGTATAAATATATGTTTGTTAGTATGAAACCTGTGGGACTAATGTTGGAATTGGTTATGTAAAGCTCCGCCACAATTTTGGAACGTTGTATATAGTTTGTCAATTGCATTCTTCGGTTAAATTACAGGTGTTTTGTGGCTTATGTGGTAGATTTGATGATAGATATATTCTAGTCTATTTTATTCGCATTACGAGTATTTTTTTTTTTTTTTGGTTGATGACAAGCTGATGAGCTAAACAGGATGTTTGCCAAGACTTGGATCATTGCATCCAGTTTCTTCTCCCTTGATGGAGCATTGCATTATTTTGTTTTGTATAACACAAAACCTGTAAGTATAGCACGTTATACAGTAAGTATAGCACGTTATCATATAAGTATAGCATGTTATACTGTAAGTATAGCACGTTTTACTGTAAGTATAGCACGTTTTATTGTAAGTATAGCACGCTATCCTGTAAATATAGCACGTTATCCTGTAAGTATAGCACGTTATACTGTAAGTATAACATGTTATCATGTAAATATAGCACGTTATCATGTAAGTATAGCATGCTATACTATAAGTATAGCACATTATACTGTAAGTATAATACGTATAGCATGTTATCCTGTAAGTATAACATGTTATATTATAAGTATAGCACATTATATGTGCTACACTTACAGGATAACGTGTTATACTTACAAGTCTTATATTTTATGTTATACTTACAAGTTATCATTCTATACTAAGATCAAATTTAACTAAAATTTCATCAATTATAACAAATTTAACTAATTTTTATGAATTCATATATACTAAGATCAAATTTAACTAAAATTTCATCAATTATAACAAATTTAACTAATTTTTATGAATTCATAAATAATAATGAGAAATTAGTGTGAAATAATTAATTTTTATGAATTCATAAATAATAATGAGAAATTAGTGTGAAATAATCATGTGAAATAACTAATGTGTAATAAGAATGTGAAATTAATGGGTGGTTATTTACAAAACATCATTTAACTAACATTTTGCCAAAAATAACAAATAAAAATTTTTATGAACTCATTTAACTAACAATTTCAAATAATTGTCATGCATAAAATGAGAAATTAATACTACAAATTTGGTAGTTGAGTAAATTGCAAAATTGTACGTTCAAATGCTAAGAAAGTGGGTGAGGATTAATTGATGGGTTATAAAAGAGAGTGTAAGAATCTATTAATGGAGTAAGAGAAAGAGAGATAAAGAGGAGGGGGGGGGAGAGAAGAAGACGAGGAGGGAGGGGAGGGAGTGGGAGGAGGGAGAGACCGTGGGGTTTTCCCAGTTTTGTTCTCTTCCTGCACGCAGAGGAGGGAAAAGGAAAATCTCCTGTTTCTCTCTTCTCCTCTCTCTCTCTCTCTCTCTCTCTCTCTTCTTCTTTATTTTTTTTGAGGGGCCCCACTTGCATGAAGGCTATAATTAAAATTTAAGAAAAATATTTAGGAGGACCCACATATGAAAGTATTGTATTTTGGAGATTGTGTTTAAAGATAAATACAAAAGGAGAGTTAGGCTTAAAGATACAAGTAATAATATTTGAGTTTACAGATAAAGTTGAGCAAACAAATGTGCCTAAAAACAAAAGCCCCTAATTTTTATCAAACAAGAACTCCATGCCATGAAATGCATTACCATGTCATATACTGATACTTGATATGCATATTTCATAATCACCCGTATTTTTCCACGAAACTTTTAGGCGCTATTTGGTTCAAGCAAAATTTTGATATTTGGCGTGGATTACAAACTTTAGGATCAAAAAGTATGGTTTTTCAGATTTTGAGATTCCATATTTGGTGTTTGTTTCAATATTTTTTTAAAAAAATATTGAATCCTAAAAATACAAAAACGCACTCATTTTTTAGAATTTGTCAAATCCTCTCAATTGGAGAGGATTTAGCAAGTCCCTTAAAGGTTATTCTTAACTCTCTTTCTATGCCATTGTACTTTATTTTCCTATGGGAGGTAATCTCACCAAGGTAAGTATGTTAACTTCTTAATTTTCGGAATTTGTTATCCTATAATTTGGATTTGAACCAAACAAGATATTACCAATTTTAGGATTTGTTTTTCTATAATCATATTGAGCTAAACAAAATATTAAAAATCCCTAAACACGTATAAAATATCATGAATTTTAAGTTCTCTATGAGATCACAAATCCTAAAATTTTGGTATTTGAACCAAACAGTACCTTAGGATATGGAGTAGTAGCTAACCCGATTACGACGAACATGTTTCTTTGATGCGTCGTTCAACAACACACTTGCACGTACATCAGCATGACGAATGGCATGAGGATGTGCATCCCAAGCTTCATTTTTATCTGCAGGATTTTCCGTTGCCTTGATTTCTTTATGACTGCTGCTGCAAAATCTGAAATGTCACTTCATCTCTTTACTGCTCATTTGTTTGCAACTGCACGTACGTGTGTCCCGTCCTCTGTCACGTTCATGGACGTCTTATTACCATCACGTTTTTGGCATCTACTTCC